ACTGCATCATCTCAGCCTATAGGGAGGGTTCACTGCATCATCTCAGCCTATTGGGAGCCTTCAGCATGTCATTTCAACCAAAAGTCCACTGAGTCATTACTACCAAAAGGATGGGTTTGCCAGTCTGCTGCAGCCAGTGAAGGGCTTCCTGAGTTGGTTACCTAAAGGAAGACTGCTGCAGTAGTTGGGCCTCCCAGCCAGCATGAGTTATCCACACCAGGTGTGGCCCTGTGAGAAGTTTCGTGTGTCCTGGCCAGTGGGTGTGTCCAGAGGGTTCAGCCCATGGGACTGGTCTGCAGGCATGGCACCCATGGGAAGGAAGTGGCAGGAGGGTGGCAGGGCTTCCGAATCCCTGTGAACAGTGGCTTCCCATGTGCAGAAAGCCAAGAAGAAGAAGATCGAGGTGATCAAGCCTGGGGACCTGGGCGTGGACCTGACCTCCAAACTCTCTGTGATAAGCGTGGAGGACCCGCCACAGCGCACAGCCGGCGTCAAAGTGGAGACCACTGAGGACCTGGTGGCCAAGCTGAGGGAGATCGGGCGGATTTGAGCCCTTCCCAGAGATGGCAATAAAACTGACTGTCCACATCTGTCTCTGTTTACTCATTTCCTAGAGACACATTATTTGGTTCATTCAACATTTACTTGAGTCTTCTGTGTGCCAGGCCCTGTGGATCCAATCCCTGCCCGTGAGGAGTTGATGCGGGGGACAATGAAGACAAAGGCAGCTGTAATTCGGGTGAAGTATGCTAGGCGTGGAGGCACACTGGGCCCTTGGGAACCCAGCTGGGAGACCTGGCCTGGCTTGTGGGAGCAGAGATTTCCCAGGGAGATGACATCCAAGTTGAGTGTTGGAACACAAATATCTGAGGTGAGTGAGAAGAAGGGCTTTTATTCACAATGTTTGCAGGACACTCATTCTCTCTTGTATCCCCAGTCTCAGCAGGGACACAAGAGAGAATGAGGCCAGAAGCTTTGGTTCTGGTCTGAGACACAGACGAGCCACAGACAATCAAAACCTGGTGTGGCAATGAACAGCCCGGGTCTAGAGCCAGATTAATTTTTTTTTTTTTTTTTTTCCAAGATGGGGTTTCACCATATTGGTCAGGCTGGTCTCAAACTCCTAACCTCAGGTGATCCACCCACCTTAGCCTCCCAAAGTGCTGGGATTACAGGCGTGAGCCACCACGCCCGGCCAGATTAATTTTTTTTTTAATTATTACTTTTTGAGACAGAGTCTTGCCGTGTTGCCAATGCACACACCACTGTGCCCGGCTAATTTTTGTATTTTTAGTAGAGATGGGGTTTCACTGTGTTGCCCAGGCTTGTCTTGAACTCCTAACCTCAAGTGATCTACCCACCTCAGCCTCCCAAAGTGCTGGGATTACAGGCGTGAGGCACTGCGCCTGGCCTAATTTTTTATTTTAAAAATCGTGTTCCATTCCTCTGGCCTTCTGACAGAGTCAGATATATTGATTTCATGTCCTCACTCTCAGCTTTGCCAGCTAGGTCTTGGGTGATTCCTTCCTGTCTTCAAGCTTCCTTTGCCGTATCTGCAGATCAAAATAGTAACGGCATCATGTAGGTGTTAAGGGCATGGGTTCTGGGTCCCAGGGCCCTGGATCAAATCCCACTTGACCCATTCCTGGCTCTAGGAGGGTTGGGTGGGCAACTACTCCCTGAGCCTCAGTTTCTTCCTCTGTCAGATAGAATTAGTGATACCTACATTCTGGTTGTCCGTTCTGGCGTAACCACCCCAAAACTTGGTGGCTTAATATAACACTTGTTTATTGTGCTCTTAAGTCTGGAATCTGGGTAGGGCTCAGCAGGGACAGCTTGTCTCTCCATGCAGGATCAGTTCGGGTGGCTCAAATGGGGTCAGGGGATTGACTCCAATAGGGCTCACCCACATGGCCAGCAAGCTGGCTGGGGCTGCTGACCAGGGGGCCATGATTCCCCTCCACGGTCCTGCTTGAGTTTCCTCACAGTGTGGGCGCTGGGTTCCATGAGGGAATGTCCTATGATACAGAAAGCAGCATGTGACGGCCTAGATGCTGATCCTGGCACCGGGTCCCTTCCATGCTAGGCTCTTGTTCTAGCAGTCACAGAGCCTACTCAGATCCAAGGACTGGGGACATAGACCCCGCATCTCAATGGGAGGAGGCTCAAATTTGCAGCCCTCTTTAAGCTACATAATCTACTCCATGGAGTTTTGAAAGGTTAATTTATGTAGCACACCCAGAATCACACCTGCTATCCAAAAAGTGATAAACATATATTATTACCAGTATTAGGTCTGGCATGGTGGCTCATACCTGTAATCCCAGCACACCCAGAACCATAATCCCAGCTCATACCCGTAATCCCAGCACACCCAGAACCATAATCCCAGCTCATACCCGTAATCCCAGCACTTTGGGAGGCTTAGGGGAGCAGATCACCTGAGGTCAGGAATTTAAGATCAGCCTGGCCAACATGGTGAAACCCCATCTCTACTAAAAATACCAAAATTATCCGGGTGTGTTGGTGCATGCCTGTTATCCCAGCTGTTCCAGAGACTGAGGCAGGAGAATCACTTGAATTCAGGAGATGAAGGCTGCAGTGAGCTGAAATTGTGCCACTGCACTCCAGCCTGGGCAACAGAGCAAGACTACATCTCAAGAAATATATATGTTATTACTGGTATTATTACCCCAGTTCAGAGGACTGGGAGCTGAGCAGAGACCCTAAGCTCAGCATGGGATGGCAGGAAAAGCTATCAGGAGTCAGTGGTCTGAATATCCTTGTCCCAAGTCCAGCTTCTCCCTCTGGCTGTGAAACCCCCTGCAGGTCCCTTGACCTCTCTGAGCCTAAGTCACTTGGCACGTAAAGTGAGGATAATGACACTCAGCTCATAGGGTATTTAGAAGGGTTGAGCCCGATGATGCATACGAAACATGTAGCGTAATTCCTGGCTCAAACGAAGTGGTAATTACCATGGTTCTTAATAAGGTGAGACCTGAAGGACAAGTTGTGGTTTAGCCAGGCTGGAGGGAGGTGGAGAGTGGGAGAGAGCATTCCAGGTAGAGGACCGGGAGGTGAGATGGGAGGCAGGATAAGAACGTCAGGATGTTTAAGTGCTGGGGTGGGTGACTGGGTGGGTTTGCTTTGGAGCTTGGATGTCTCCAGAGGGTGCTGAGGAGCCAGGGGAGAGCTGTGAGCAGGGGAGGACAGGTTCAGCTCCGGGTGAAGGACCCTGGCAGGGACTGGAAGAGACTGGGCAGAGGAGGGCAACGGGGTAGGGAGAGAGGACAGGGCCTGGGCAGTGAGAACTGAGAGGAGGAGAAAGGACAGAGAGGTTTAGGACGTAGGAGGGGTGGGACTCAGATTGACAGTGGGGAGGGGGAGGGAGGAGATGGGAATGTTTCCCAGCATTTTTGAAGATGGTGAAGCCATTCTGGAGGTAGGAGGAAGTTTGGGTTAGAGGAAAGATTCTGAGTTTAGCAGGACACAGGCCATGTGAGGGCCTCGGGGACGCAGAAATGCAGCTCTGGTCTCAGGATAGAGGCCCTGGCAGGAGGTAGAACCTGGATACTTGGTTCTGAGGGCAACAGAGAGCCATGGGAGGGTTTGGAGCAGAGGAGGAGCAGGATTAGATGTGGGTATCTGAGGCTGAAGGCAAGACAGAGTGGAAGGGGCCAGGAGGCTGGGGATGAGGAAGCCTGCTCTCTGGCTGTGGCCCTCAGAGGTGGGGCTCTGAGAAAGGTCGCCTCACCCTCCTCCAGGAAGTCTTCCTGGCTTTGTCCCACAAATTTGCTACCACATTTTTAGCTGAGAATCTTTACTTCATTTTCCACTTAGGGGTGGGGAGTGCAGGGATCAGGCTGACCAGCTAATGAAGAGTGGGGTGGGGTGGGCACCTCAGCCACCACATCGGGGTTGGGGATCCTGGCACCTCCCTCTGGGTCTGGCTCCCTTCCCCTCCCAGGAAGCTAAGCTACCAGTCCTGTTGGACTCGTCTCACCCGGGAGGGAGAGGTGCAGTCTTGGGTCTCACTCCAGTGTCCTTTCAGTAAGGCCAGCACCATGGACACCCCACAGGCTCTGCCACTCTTCCTTCTGGGTAAGTTTCCTGCTCAGTCCCCTCCCAGTCAGTCTCCCTGAGCAGCCTCCCCCAATGCCTTCCCCTCTTCTCTGCAGCCTCCTTGATAGGGGTCCTCACCCTCGGATCCTCTTCTGGACTTCAGCAAACCAACTTCTCTTCCTTCTCTTCGGACTCAAAGAGCTCTTCTCAGGGGCTGGGTGCAGAAGTTCCCTCCATCAAACCTCCCAGCTGGAAATTTCCAGATCAGTCCTTGGATTCAAAAGGCTCTGCCGGAATCTCTGATTCCAGCTGGTTTCCTGAGGCCTTGAGTTCCAACAACATGTCTGGATCCTTCTGGTCAAATGTTTCTGCTGACGGCCAAGATTTGAGCCTGGATTCCCCCTTCTCTGAAACCCCTGGTTCTGAAGTATTTCCTGGTATTTCGGATCCTCAGGTTCCTGCCAAAGACCCCAAGCCTCCCTTCTCTGTTAAGACCCCACCTTCAAACATTTCTATTCAAGTCCCCAATACCAAAGTATCTGTTGAGGCCCCAGATTCAAAATTCTTCCCTGATGACATGGATCTTAAACTCTCTGCCCAGAGCCCTGAATCCAATTTTTCTGCAGAGACCCACTCAGCTGCAAGCATCCCCCAGCAGGTGGGGGGCCCACTCGCTGTGCTGGTGGGGACCACCATCCGGCTTCCCCTGGTCTCAGTCCCCAGCCCTGGGCCCCCTGCTCCTCTGGTGGTCTGGCACCGGGGCTCTAAGGTGCTGGCAGCTGGTGGCCTGGGTCCAGGGGCACCTCTGATCAGCCTGGACCCTGCTCACCGAGACCGCCTGCGATTTGACCAGGTCTGGGGGGTTCTGGAGCTCTCCTCTGCCCAGCTGGATGATGCAGGGGTCTACACGGCTGAGGTTATCCGGGGAGGGGTCTCCCGGCAGACTCAGGAGTTCACTGTGGGTGTGTATGGTAAGTGGGCCCTGGGGTCCAAAGTGCAGGAGGCAGGGGCTGCTCTGCTCTGCTAGGCCTTGGGCAAGTCACGGTGCTGTTCTGAGGACGTTTCCTTCCTGGAGAAAGGGGTCCCCGGATGGGAGAAGAGGACTCCTGTCTTGAGGAAGCGAGGAAAAGAGCTAGGGTTCAAGGCAGGGGTGTTTGTGCAAAGTTGGACCTGGGATCGAGACTCCTGGGGGCATGGACTCCTGGGTCTGAGGGAGGAGGAGGAGGCTGGGGACCCCCTCTGGCAAACTCCTGGTCCTGGAGAGGAGAGGGCTGGGGGCTCAGACTCATGCGTTTGTGAGAGGAGACGGATGGGGCTTGGGACTCCAGGTGATTAGAGGGAGCAGCTGCTGGGGCCAGAAGTCTTAGGTGTAAGAGAGGAGGGGACCAAAGATGGGCTCCCGGACAGGGTCCTGAGCCCGTTCTCCCTCTCGCAGAACCCCTACCCCAGCTATCGGTTCAGCCCAAGGCCCCAGAAACAGAAGAGGGGGCGGCCGAGCTCCGGCTGCGCTGCCTGGGGTGGGGGCCGGGTCGTGGGGAGCTGAGCTGGAGCCAGGATGGACGAGCCCTTGAGGCGGCGGACCCGGAGGGAGCCGAGCCGCCCCGGATCCGCTCAGAGGGAGACCAGCTGGTCATCACGCGCCCTGTGCGCAGCGACCACGCCCGGTACACTTGCCGCGTCCGCAGCCCCTTCGGCCACCGGGAGGCTGCCGCCGACGTCAGCGTCTTCTGTAAGTGGTGGTGCCTCGGGTTGGGGACAGGGGGTACTGGGGGCCGAGTCTCCCGGAGTCCTAGCGGAGTCCCAGGTGACCCCGACCCTCGCGGTCCCGACCCCTCCTCCCTCCAGACGGCCCGGACCCGCCGATCATCACGGTCTCCTCGGACCGCGACGCCGCACCTGCCCTCTTTGTCACTGCGGGCAGCAACGTGACCTTGCACTGCGCTGCCGCCTCGCGGCCGCCCGCCAACATAGCGTGGAGCCTGGCGGACCCGGCCGAGGCCGCGGTGCCCGCTGGGCCGCGCCTCCTGCTGCCCGCGGTCGGGCCGGGCCACGCAGGCACCTACGCCTGCCTGGCTGCGAACCCGCGCACCAGCAGCCGCCGCCGCTCGCTGCTCAACCTCACGGTGGCAGGTGGGAGCCAGGGGCCGGAGAGTGGGGGGCGGATCCCTGGGGGGTGGGGCGGGGGCGGAGGGGCGGGGCTAAACGAAAGGGGCGGGGCCAGCGAGGAGCCGGATACCGGCGGGTGGGGCAGGGCCAGCGTGGGGGCGGGGTCACCAAGAAGGAGGAAGGTTACTGTAGTAGGCGGGGCCAGCGAGAAGGGGCGGAGATACCTAGTGTAAGGGGCGGGGCCAGAAAGAGGACAAGGGAAGGAACCAAATGGAGTGGCAGGTATGACCAGGACAGAGGGGCCGGCCCAGCACTGAGAGGGCGGACATCCCTAGGCAAGGAGCACTCTCGACAAAGTCGACAGCAGAGTTAAATAGCAAAGAGTGGGAGTTAGAAAGGGAAAGAACTAAGTTTTCTGGGCCAGTAAGTGGGATCAGCAAAAGGAGAAGGTACCTGGGGAGAGGGGCGGAGTCACAAGGGAGAAGGGCGAGGTCATTTGGAAAGCGGGCAGAATTATCTTAGAAAGGGGGCGGGGTCCACAAGGAAGGGCGAGATATCTAGGAAAAGAGGAGGCTTCTCGGAGAGCAGTCCAGGAGGCGGCGAAGAAACCTGGCGGAAGGAGTGGAGCTGAAAAGAAAAAGGCTGAGTTACGTTTAGGAAGAAAAAAATCATTTTATGAAGATGCCGTTTTCTTAAGAAAGCTGAGCAGTCAGCGGGGCTTCGGGTTACCTACTTAGCGGAGAAGTTAACGGGGAAAGGGAACGGGATCACAGGTGGGAGGTGTGAGAACCTTTGGGGCGAGGCTAGCGAAGAAGGGTGGGGTCACCGCGCGGAGAGGCGGGGCTGGAAAAGAGATGGGCGAGGGACTCCATCTTCGTTCTCTCCCTTCCCTTCGCAGACCTGCCCCCCGGGGCCCCACAGTGCTCCGTCGAAGGGGGTCCCGGGGACCGCAGCCTCCGCTTCCGCTGCTCGTGGCCCGGCGGGGTCCCTGCCGCCTCTTTGCAGTTCCAGGGTCTTCCTGAAGGCATCCGCGCCGGGCCGGCGTCCTCCGTGCTGCTGGCGGCAGTCCCCGCCCACCCCCGGCTCAACGGCGTCCCCATCACCTGCCTTGCTCGCCACCTGGTGGCCACGCGTACCTGCACCGTCATCCCGGGTGAGAGGGCGCGGGGCTTTTTTTGTGCTGTTTGTTTCTCGAGGAGGAGAGAGACTTTTTCTTTGGTCCTTTGGAAATTCTGAAGGGGTATGGGGTACCTCCTTAGTACAAGGAAGAGGCAGGACTAAACTTTCTTCAAACTGGAAAAGGGACAAAGTTTTTTCTACACCTCGTGGTGGAGGGGTGCAGGGATGGGTGTAGAAGGTCATCACTTTCCCACGTGTTCAGAGAGAGAAAGCAGTGATGGTTTTGTTTATTTTGTTTGTTTGCTTGTTTTTATTTGTTTTGAGAGGGAGTCTTGCTCTGACGCCCAGGCTGGAGTGCAGTTGCTCAATCTCGGCTCACTGCAACCTCCACCTCCCAGGTTCAAGTGATTCTGCTGCTTCAGCCTCCCTGGTAGCTGGGATTACAAACAGATGTCATGACGCCCAGCTAAGTTTTTTTTTGTTTTTTTTTTTTTTTTTGTATTTTTAGTAGAGACGGGGTTTCACCATGTTGGTCGAGGCTGGTTTCAAACTCCTGACCTCAGATGATCCGCCCGCCTTGGCCACATGAAGTTTTGGGATTACAGGCATGAGACCCCAGCGAAAACAGTGATGTTTTAGAGAGTAACGAGGCCGGGGGCAATAATCGAAGCACTTTGGTAGTCAGGGGCGGGGGGGATTGCTTGAGCCTCGGATTTCAAGACTAGCCTGGGCAGTGTGGCAAGACCAGGTCTTATAATTATTATTACTATAAAATAATAAAGAAGAATCAATAGCTGAGAAGAATATTAGTTTCCCAGTACAGGGCCTGCCCCTATGGTATGTGTTCAATCAGTGTTTGATGAGGAAATTAGGTAATGAATAAATAAGCTAATGAGTGAATGAATTGGCAGTTCTTTCTCAGGTGGCCCAGGGCTTACCACCATCTGATTTAAAATAGGGCATAGGACCTGTTCTTTGAATCCAAGATAAAGTCTTGACTTTCTTGACTCGGCTCCTCCCACCTGCAGAGGCCCCCCGAGAGGTGCTGCTGCATCCGCTGGTGGCAGAGACACGGTCAGGGGAGGCAGAGGTGGCACTGGAGGCCTCTGGTTGTCCCCCACCCTCAAGGGCATCCTGGGCCCGAGAAGGGCGGCCCCTGGCTCCAGGAGGCGGGAGTCGCCTGCGGCTCAGTCAAAATGGGCGGAAGCTGCTCATCGGCAACTTCAGCCTGGATTGGGACCTGGGAAATTACTCCGTGCTGTGCAGTGGGGCACTGGGTGCTGGCGGTGACCAGATCACCCTCATTGGTGAGCCACGTTATTTCCAAGAACCCAGAAGTCCAGGCCCCTCTGGCCCTCAGACCCAGAAGTTCAGGCCCCAGACCTTTCCTCCCTCAGACCTCGGATCCAGGCCTGCAGTCCCTCCTCCCTCAGACCCTGGAGTCCAGGCCCCAGCCTCTTCTCCCTCAGACTCAGGGGTCCAGGCCCCCAGCCCCTCCTCCCTCAGACCCAGGAGTCCAGGCCCCCAGCCCCTCCTCCCTCAGACTCAGGAGTCCAGGCCCCCAGCCCCTCCTCCTCCAGACCCAGGACCACAGCTCCCTACCTCCCTTCCCTCTCCCCTCCCAGACCCACAAATCCAGCCTCCCCCACATCTCTCTAGGACCCTCCATATCCTCGTGGAGGCTTCAAAGAGCCCGAGATGCAGCTGTGCTGACTTGGGATGTGGAGCGAGGGGCCCTGATCAGCAGTTTTGAGATCCAGGCATGGCCAGATGGGCCTAATCTGGGCAGGACTTCAACCTACAAGGACTGGGTCTCCCTGCTTATCCTGGGGCCTCAGGAGCGGTCAGCCGTGGTGCCCCTTCCATCTCGGAACCCAGGGACCTGGACTTTTCGGATTCTGCCCATGCTGGGGGACCAGCCAGGGACTCCATCGCAAAGCCGGGTCTACCAGGCCGGTGAGTGAGTTGGGGCTGTCAGCACTTTCTCCCGGGCTTCCTGGTAGTCCAATTAGCCATTCTCAGTCTGTTGTGCCAGATCCTCCCTCTCTCCCTGTTGTAGTGTCCTGGGGCCTGCCCTAACAAAGTACCATCAACTGCATGGCTTGAGACAACAGGAATTTCTTCTCTCCCAGGTGTGGAGGTCAGAAGTCTAAAATCAAAGTGTTGACAGGGTCCTGCTCCCTCTGAGATGCTGTGTAGAATCCTCCTGTGTCTCCTTTTAGCTCCTGGTGGCAGCTGTTCTGTCCTTGACATTCCTTGGCTTACAGCTGCATCACTTCGACCTCTGCCTCCAGGTTCTCACAGCTTTCTTTTCCCTGTGTGTGTCTCTATCCTGTTTTTTTTTTTTCTTTTTTTTGAGATGGAGTTTTACTCTCGTTGCCGAGGCTGGAGTGCAATGGCACGATCTCAGCTTACTGCAGCCTCCGACTCCTGGGTTCAAGCGATTCTTCTGCCTCAGCCTCCCTAGAAGCTGGGATTACAGACATGTGCCACCACGCCCAGCTAATTTTTGTATTATTGGTAGAGATGGGGTTTCACCATATTGGCCAGGCTGTTCTCAAACTCCTGACCTCAGGTGACCCACCCACCTCAGCCTCCCAAAGTGTCGGGATTACAGGCATGAGCCACCACACCCAGCCTCTGTCCTCTCCTCTTCTTCTAAAGACACCAGTTATATTGGATTAGGATCCACCCTCATGACTTCAAATTGACTTGGTTACATCTTCAGAGACCTTATTCCAAAATAAAGTCACATTCACAGGAACAGAGGTTAGGACTTCAACATATGTTTTTCTTTTAGGGTGGGCACAATTCAGCTGATAACACTCCTCCATTGGAGTGTCTCAGGATTTAATCCTCACTCCCAAAGTGATTGTGCTCACTCTCATGGCCTTCAATACTCAGATGACTCCCACATGTCTTATCCTTAGCCCTGACTTCTCTCTTGAAAAGGATGCTCCCTGCTTAAGATCTTCACAGTTTTTTTTGTTTGTTTGTTTCCTGGGACAGAGTCTGGCTGTCACCCAGGCTGGAGTGCAATGGCGTGGTCTCAGCTCACAGCAACCTCTGCCTCCTAGGTTCAAGCAATTCTCCTGCCTTAGCCTCCCAAGTAGCTGGGATTATAGATGTGAGCTACCATGCCGGCTAATTTTTTTTGTATTTTTCGTAGAGACAGGGTTTTGCCATGTTGGCCAGACTGGTCTTGAGCTCCTGACCTCAAGTGATCCACCCGCCTCGGCCTCCCAAAGTGCTGGGATTAGAGGCATGAACCACCATGCCCAGCCAAGATCTTCACTTTGGATGTCCAATTATCATCTCAAATGTCATGTGTCCAAAACAGACCTTTTGATGTTTTCCCTCAAAACTGCATCTCCCAACCCTCTGGTCTTCCCCCATCCTCATAAATGTCACTACTCACAGGCCAAATCACCCCTAACATCCTAATTGGCAGCAAGTTCAGTCCATTTTCCTTCCAAAATATTTTTCATCTTCACTCCAAGCCTCTGGTCAAAGACAGCATCCTCACTTGCTTGGACTGTAACAGCTGTTTATCTGGCCTCTTTATATTCCCTCTTGCTCGCCTATAATCCATTCTCCATGTAGAAGCCAAAGTTATGAAAATCAGATCATGCGGCTGCCCTACATAAAAGCCTTCCATTAATTTCTGCAGGACCCTCTCAGGATCTGGTTCCTGGAAACCTTTTCTACTTCACCCTCCACCTCCAGCCCCCTCCTTCCATATTATCCACCCACATTGGCCTTCATTGAACAGAGAAAGCTCTTTCCTAGTTCTGGGCCTTTGCATTTTACGCCCTTTCCCCAGGTTTAGTATGACTGCCCCGGTCTTTATTCTTCAAGTCTCTTTCAAATGTTACTTTCTCAGGGACCTTAGCTCATCACTCTTACTAAATGTCACATCCCTTCCCACTATTTCTTTTTTTTTTTTTTTTTTTTTGTTTGTTTTCTTTCTTTGAGACAGGCCTCGCTTTGTGGCCCAGGCTGGAGTGCAGTGGCGTGATCTGGGCTCACTGCAGCCTCAACCTCCCCAAACTCAGGTGATCCTCTTACCTCAGTCTCCTGAGTAGCTAGGGCTACAGGCCCGGCCACCTCACCTGACTAATTTTTCTATTTTTGCAGAAACAGGGTCTTGCTATGTTGCCCAGGCTGGTCTCCAACTCCTGGGCTCAAGTGATCCGCCCACCTTGACCTCCCACAGTGTTGGCAGTCACAGGTGTGAGCCACCATGCCCGATCCCCATTATCTCTGTCACATCACTTTTTCTTTCTTGGCACAGTCTGTGATTATGTTATGTGTTACTCATTTATTTCTGACTTCTCCTAGAATTAAGCCCACAAATGTAGGTATCTTTCCCCTTTGGCCCACTAATGAATCCTCATTACCTGGCTGAGAGCCAGGCACACCATGGTCACTCAGTAACTGTTAAATGAGAGTGCTGGGGTCCCACATTCCTGGGTTCTGGGAGGGGAGGGGCGGGGGGGCTGGACTCCTGGGTCCCCGCACAAAGTTAGGGGGCTTAGGAAACTTGGGTCCAACCTTGGTTCCTGCTCTCCTTCTCTCCCTTCTCTTTGTCTCTTCCAGGACCCACGTTGAGCCACGGGGCCATTGCTGGCATCGTTCTGGGCTCCCTACTGGGCCTGGTGCTGCTGGCCATACTCCTCCTCCTTTGCATCTGCTGCCTGTGCCGCTTTCGGGGTGAGCTAGGGGACCAGGGAAGGGGCAATCACAGTCAACCGGGTGGGACCCTAGAATGAGGCCCATAGATGACCTGGCTGAGCCAATTAGCGCCGTCATAGATCATCCATCCTGCCTTCCTACCCCCAAATCAGCCAACTAGCATAAGGCTCCGCCTCTCAGATCAGCTTCCCTTGCTATTGGCTGGGTTGGCATGTTGGGGCAGCCAATCACGTGTTCCTGCTTTTCCTCCTCCTCTCAATCAGGAAAGACTCCTGAGAAAAAGAAGCACCCCTCTACCTTGGTCCCCGTGGTCACCCCCTCAGAAAAGAAGACGCACAGTGTGACCCCAGTGGAGATTTCATGGCCTCTGGACTTCAAAGTCCCACTGGAGGACCACAGCCCAATTAGGGCCCACCAAGTGAGTGTGGGTGTCCCCATTTCCTTCTGGAATCAGGGCAGAACTTCTTGTATTATAATCAGGGAGATGAGAGGGTCTCGATTATCTAACTCCAGTTTTACTTGTTAGTTTACAGTCTGTATAACTTCATTTTTAAAAATGCATCATAGTTGGACAGAGCTTCGTGCCCAACTTTGATGTATATTAAAATAAGGGAATTCCAGTTTCTCTTCCAAAGGAGGATGAGGTAGGATATCCTTTTTTTTTCTTTTTGAGATGGAGTCTCACTCTGTCACCCAGACTAGAGTACAATGGCACGATCTCGGCTCACTGCAACCTCTGCCTACCGGGTTCAAGTGATTCTCCTGCCTCAGCCTCACGAGTAGCTGGGGTTACAGGCGCACGTCACCATGCCCAGCTCATTTTTTGGTACTTTTTAGTAGAGATGGGGTTTAACCATGTTGGCCAGGGATGGTCTCGATCTCCTGACCTTGTGATCTGCTGGTCTTGGCCTCCAAAAGTGCTGGGATTACAGGCGTGAGCCGCCTTGCCTAGAGTTTTTTTTTCTTTTTACTTTTTTTTTTTTTTTTTTTTTTTTGAGAGCGAGTCAGGCTCTGTTGCCCAGGCTGGAGTACAGTGGTACCATCCCCACTCACTGCAGCCCCTGCCTCCTGGGTTCAAGCAATTTTCCTGCCTCAGCCACCTGAATAGTTGGGATTACAGGCATGTAGCACCACATGCAACTAATTTTTGTACTTTTAGAAGAGATGGGGTTTCACCATGGTAGGTAGCCTGGTCCTGGACTCCTGACCCCAAGTGATCTGCCCACCTCGGCCTCCCAAAGTGCTGGGATTGCAGGCCTGAGCCAGCATTCCCGGCCCCTCCTTTTTTCTTTTCCATAAAAATTGGGCAAGGCCGTTTTTTCTCTATGAAGTGGGGTACAGTTTTCTTGTTTCCCCATAAAAGTGGGGTTGTTGTGACTGGGCGTGGTAGCTCACGCCTGTAATCCCAGCACTTCAGGAGGTTGAGGTGGGAGAATCACTTGAGCCTAGGAGTTCGAGACCAGCCTGGGCAACATAGGGAGACCCCATCTCTATGAAAAATTTTAAAAGTAGCTGGGCATGGTGGCACCTGCCTGTCGTCCCAGCTACTAGGGAGACTCAGGTGGGAGGATTGCTCGGGCTTGAGAGGTGAAGGCTGCAGTGAGCTATAACAGTACCACTGCACTCCAGCCTGGATGACAGAGTGAGACCCTGTCTCAAAAAAAAAAAAAAAAGCTGAGTTGTTGCCTGGCTTAGCTCCACCAAAGATAGCCAAATATTTTTTTTTCCTTCTGCAAATGGAGGGTGCTCAGATAATTTCTAAAAAGTTCAAGCAAGAGCTGGAAAAAGTTAGGTGGGTGAATCATGTCACATCCAGGACACCTACTGAGTTACCCCCCACCCCACCTCTCTCTTCCAGGCCATAGACCCCAGTCCAGTTGCCTCTGTAGGTGGAGGCCCGAAGACTGTTCGGGCAGCCACGCAGGTGTGAACAGAGCCAGTGGCCTGCCCTGCACAGGGCATTTTGGGTCAGAACTTCCTATGTCACTTCAGCAGCAGGCAGGGCCTGCTGTGACTGATGATTGGACCCTGAAAGTGGGACTTTCTGTCTCCCTCTCATGCTGCAGAAGAGGAGTCTTCCTGTATTTGTGCAAGTAAGGAGATGTGACTGCTTGGCTGGGAAAGTCCTGCTGATCTAACAGTGTGGTTTGCACAACCTCCAAGGCCCTGCAGCAGACAGGCAGGGCTTGCTGTGTTGCTCTGAACTAGAGAGGGAGCTTGGCCTTGTTCTCTGAAAAGATCCCCCTACATTCACTTTGCCACCTGTAGGCTACACCCCATCCAGCTTCCAGCATCTTCATCTTAAAAACAGATCAGATCACGTCCCTCTTCTCTTTAATCCTTCTGTGGCCTGTGCATTTCCCTTCAGATACTACCCAAAGTCCTCATCGTGACCTTCAAAGCCTTGTGGTCTGGCTTTTGTCGGCCTCCCTGACCTCCCTTCCCAAGATGTTCTCTGCCCCCTGACTCTAGTATCACAGGCTGTCTCTCAGCCGCAGTTGATTTTGCCCCTAGAATTTGCTCTGCTTAGAACACTTCTTTTTCCCGTATGTTATTCATTTCTCAAGTCTAAGGGTAACAATTGCCATCTCAGATGACGATTCCCTTACCCCTCCCTTAGTCTTGGGTTAAGTCACAGAATCCTTGAATTTGCCGTTCCTGATACATAAATATGTAATTACTTGTGTGGCCTCAGACGCTCTCTGTAAACTAAGGGCTTCACGAAAGCAGAGACCACATCATTATCTCTGCACTTAACCCAGAGCCTGGCACATAGCAGGCAATCAATAAATATTTGTTGACTGATCAAATGTTTTGATGCCAGTGAAGAGTTGGGCTTGCTGCTGCTGTCTTCAGCATAAGTTATGCTTTTTCAGCTGAGTTTCTAATTGAGAATTTAGAGAGTGCGTTGGTGAGGATTCTTTTGGCCGCAGGAACAAAATGCTGGCAAGGAATATGGAGGTGGGTGGTTTCAGGCTGGCTCAGCAACTCAGTGATGCCTTTAAAGACATGGGCCCTTTGCATCCATCTGCTCTGCCACCCTCAGTGGGTTGGCACATTTTCTCCAAGCATGTTGCCTCATGTAGCAAGATGGTTGCTGCAGCTCCAGTCATCACATCTTCATACAGTTGTATCCAAAGATAAACTGAAGGAGGCAGAACTTCCTTCCTATATATCTTACCCACCCCCCCACCTTCCCCTATCACTGCCTTCTTCCCTCTCATGGAGTGGGAGGAGGGCTTTCCTGGAAACCTATAAGCAAACTTCCCTTTATGTCTCTTTGACCCATATTGACCACATAGCTGCAAAGGAGGCTGGGAAACCAAATATCTAGCCTGTATCATAACAGGTGGATTTGCCAGCAAAGAACAAGGAACCAAACAACTCTAATGTGGGCACCCAACATCTGTCTCAGGGAAGGAAAGCATGTGGAAGAACTTCTGTTCAATGATTGGGGTAGAAAAGGCCATTGGGAAATAGAACCCCTGGGTCCTTTTGGAAAGGTGAGGGCTGGAGTTATGGGCCCTCTACATCTCTTCTGTATCTATTTCGTTTTCATTTTCCTTTTTGTTACTAGAGATAGAAAACCCAATGCAAATTGGTTTAAATATACAGGGGACTTTATTGCTTACATAAATGAAGATGTGGGCATCAGTTAAGTTTTGATCCAGCTGCTCAAATGATACCATCATGGACTCAGTTTCTCTAAGGTTTCCACTCTGCACTTCTTAGCATTGCTATTATTCCCAGGCTCCATATGCTGCCTTCTCTACCACTGCTATCCCCACAGACCCAAGATGTCTCCATGTGATGGAGAAAAGCAACCCTACAGATATAGACCTCACATCATAGAGCCACAGTATCCAGCAGAAAAGCATCTCTTCTCAGGAATGCATTCACTTTCTCATTAGCCTTACTGGGTCATGTGCCCATCTCTGAGCCAATCACGGTGGGAAATGGGATGTACTGAGCGGCTTAGGCCAATCACAGGGCATCTCTGTAATGAGTCAATTCCAAACCTACCGATGAGAAAGTAGGTGGTAGGAAGGATGCTGGAGAGGCACCAATTGACTGCTACCTTTTGTCCTTCGTTAACACAAATCCTTAATGATATTGACACCTGCAGGCAGACTTTGGAAAAAGGCGTTTATTGGTGTGGTGGTCTCAACACTCCCCATGAATTGGAACACACGGCCCCCAGGGCCCCCCACCCCCTCCCTGGCCTCCCTCCCCAGTCCCACCCCATCCCCTGGACCCTGGGAATGGAAGACAATGTGGGATGGGGCCCGTGCCCCTGTCTGAGGTACAGTCACCGCGCCTTGCCCTCTCCTCTTCTCCACCAGACTCTGGGTGGTGTGGTTTGGGGTGGGTGTTTATATAGAGGGTCTCCTGGGAGTCGGAGCTGTTGACATGGCATCTGTGTCTGTGCTCAGGATGTCTGTGTGATGCGTCTCTGTCCCCCACTTGGTGTGGTGTGGTGTACCAGGGTGGAGTATTCCTACAGTCAGAGCTGAGGCTGCAGCCTCTCAGCGTCGCTTCCTGACAACAGATGCCTACCCAGGAGGAACTACAGCTAGTCACCAGCTACAGGACAGCTGGAGCCAGGGGGCTATTGCTGGTCACAGTCGCTGGTGTGTGTGTGTGTGTGTGTGTGTGTGTGCGCGTGTGTGCGGTCAGGTAGCCTTTGGGAGGTACAGTTGGTGGAGAGGCCAGGGAGCGATAGATGAGCAAGCCCACACTTGTGGGCTGGTTGCAAAGGCCCCAAGGGCAGCTGGCTGGTGCCGCAGGTGGGGAAGTCAAGGCCAAGGGGAGTGGTGGCAGGGGTAGGGCAAAGCACTGAAACAGATAGGCGACTCCTGCCACCAGTCTGACAGTTGGATGGAAGCACCGATTGGCCCAGGAGGGGGCCAGAAAATCCAGGGTGGGGAGGGACAGGAAAGTGGGAAGGTCTCAGGCTACTGAGCCAGCAATGGGGCCTCTGGCTACAGGAAGCTGGTGGTTGACAGCAGGGAAGCCCAGAGCCCAGATGGAGGTCCCCCACTTACTCACAAAGGCTGAATGACAGCTTGACAGGTGAATGCGACACCTCTCCCCACTCCCAACCTGCCAGGAGATGCCCTTTGAACAGGGGGAGGGTCAGTGTGCGTGCATATATTGGGGAAGCAGGAGCCTGGTGAGCCTCTCTTCACAGCCTCCACTGCAGAGCCCCACATCTACCTCCAGCCAGAGGTGGGAGGCAGTAGGGCTGGGGACAGTGGACATGGGGGCATCGGGGATGGGAGGACGGCTGAGTCCCCTCTCCCAGTCCACCCACCCACACACACAGAGACACAGACACCTACACACACATGCAGGCTCACACTCACACAGTCACACCCACACGAGCCAGTTGACAGCCTGAGCTAAGAGAGAGGGGTATGGGGTGGCGGGAGTGGGTCACAATCGGAAACGTGAACGGGTGGCGAGAATGGCTGTAGAAAGATGCATAATTTTGCGTTATCCCTCACAGTGATGGGTTCTCTAAAGATCTTTCTTCCTCTGCCTCCTCCTCTTCCTCTCCTCTTCTTCCTCAGTGGCCGAGAGCTCTCCTGCCCCCACGAGACCCATGGCTCCTGCTCCCCCTTTTCTCTCACTCTTGGCCTGAGGCCCCCTGCAGGGGGAGGCGAGCTCCACTGGGTTGCGCCTACATTCTCCACCACAGCCAGCCCAGGGCGGAGAGGAGGGCCAGGGGCCCTGGGGGCCTCGGGGCTGAGTTCTCCAGGGATCCTGGGCCTATGGGAAGAGAGGGGGTCATGGAGGGAGGCCTGAGAGTGGGGGACCCCTTGTGTGTTTCTCCAGGGGGCATGTCTCTTCTGAACCCACCTCTTTAGGGGCCTTTCTGGGTCTCTCACTAGGTGTGCCTGCTTTTCTGACTCTTTATTTTATTTATTAATTTTATTATTTTTTTGAGATGGAGTCTTGCTCTGTTGCCAGGTTGGAGTGCAGTGGAGTGTGATCTTGGCTCACTGCAAGCTCCGCCTCCCTGGTTCAAGCAATTTCCTTGCCTCAGCCTCCTAAGTAGCTGGGATTACAGGTGCACACCACCAGAGCTGGCTGTGTTTTTGTATTTTAGTAGAGATGTGGTTTCACCACGTAGGCCACGATGGTCTCAATCTCCTGACCTCGTCATCCGCCTGCCTCAGTCTCCCAAAGTGCTGGGATTACAGGTGTGAGCCACTGAGCCTGGCTTTTATTATTATTTTTAAATTATTTTTATTTTTTGAGACAGTCTTGCTCTGTCACCTAGGCTGGAGTGCGGTGGCATTATCTTGGCTCACTGCAACCTCTGCCTCCTGGATTCAAGCAATCCTTCTGCCTCAGCATGCTGAATAGCTAGGACTAAAGATGCCCACTATCACACTTGACTAATTTTTGTGTTTTTTAAGTAAAGATGGAGTTTTGCCATATTGGCCAGGCTGATCTCAAACTCCCAACCTCAAGCGATCAGCCTGCCTTGGCCTCCTTTGGGATTACAGGTGTGAGCCACTGTGCCCAGGATGTTTATAGAAGATGCTCTCAGATCTGTACTTTTTCACTGTCTTAGCCTGGGACTCTCAGTGTCTGCCTTTCTATCTTGCAGAGTCTGTCTATCTGGCATTTCTGCCAGTCATCTTATACTTAGCATACCCCAAACTGCTGCCTCCCACACTTTCCTCCCCACACACTGGCTTCCAGCCTCCCTCCTAATCACTTCTTGGTATCAATACTTCAGTGTACAGCCCCATCCACCCAGCTCCTTAGGCCAAAATCTCAGGACCACCTTTGACTTGACTTTCCTCTTCCATCAGCCCTCCACATCCAGTCCAATGACTGGTCCTAGGGGCATCACCTCCAAAACTCTCTCAATACAGAGACTTGGTGCCACCCACTGCCATCCCTTACCTGATGACTACGGCAGCCTCCTCCCTCGTCTCCCTGCCTGCATCTTGCCACCACCCCATTCCTCTATTTTATTGAGACAAGGTCTTGCTCTGTCCCCCAGGCTAGAGTGCAGTAGTACAATCATAATACCTCACTGCAGCCTGGACCTCCCAGGCTCAAGCAATCCTCCCACCTCAGCCTCCTGAGGAGCTGGGACTATAGGCGTGCAACACCTAGTTAGGTTGATTTTTAATTTTTTTTTTTTTTTTGTAGAGATGGGGTCTCACTATGTTGCCAAGGCAGGTTTCAAACTCCTGGGCTCAAGTGATCCTCCCTTCTTGGCCTCCCAAAGTGCTAGGATTACAGGTGTGAGCCACCACGCCTGGCCTCCAAAACTATTTTTTGTTTATATATGTGTTTGCTTATTTATCTACATGTCCACTTGTTTGTTTATTGCTTTTCTACTCCTACTAACCATAAGCTCTGCGAATGCACAAACCTTGTTTCTTTTGTGCAAAGCTGTGTCCCCCACGCCCAACCCTTAGCTGGCGCTCAAGGAATACTGATTGCGTGGATCGGTTTCTTACTGGCAGTGCTTTTCAGTCTCAGAGTCGGTCTCCTAAGCTCAGGGTCAGCCTGCGGGGCGGTCCCAGGGTCTCCACCTTCCTAGTCCCGCCCACCTGCCCGGCCCTGCCCACCTGCCCGGCCCCGCCCCGCCCCGCCCCCAGACGCACGCAACAGCCGCATGGAGGCGCTGGACGCTCCCAACCGGTTGGCGGCGCGACACGTGTAGTTGCCGTAATGCCGGGCGCTCACGTTGGCGAAAAGCAGCATCGAGCGGGTGCGCTCCGTCTGCACCTTCAGGCCCTCGGCCGTGCCGCTGCTCAGCCTGTCGGGGATCCGGGTCAGGGGCCGGGCTGCAGCGCCCAGCCAGGCCCGCCCCCCGCCTCTCAGGATCGTTTCCCGGTTTCCCGGAGAGCCGGCATTCTGCCCCCTACCCCAGTGAACTCTCGCCTCGGGTTCTAGCGCCTCATGGACCCCGGGTCACGCCCACCGCT